TATTTTTATATTTTTGGTTTTAATTTTAAGTTTTTTAAGTTTGTTGTATTTTGATATATATAGCTAGTATCATATACATGTATTTAGCATAAATGTGTATTATTTAATACATTTTTTTCTGTCTTTGACTTACAGCATCATGAATTGATTTTATTTCAAAGTTATTTTACTGTTTACAGGTTTGATTGTAACGTCTTACCCTATATAGTCTGACTGCCTGCTCCGATATGTCCTACACAAAAATAAATGTGTAAAATTGATAGCCCTAATCTTTATTTGCATGTATTTAGTGCATCAAATGTTTTTAGTCAGCTATTCAGCTGTGCAGTGACACAACAGGCCTGAACCCATCAGTCGCCCCCAATATCCCCTCTCTGAACCCTAGGAATGCCCCAAGATGTGCCCACCTGAAATATGCATCTGATTTTCCACCATCTAAACGGCGCCTCGCTTGAAGTCTGCTCATGCTGCGCTGGTGGGAATATTCAAAGCTGCACTTATGAAATATTTATCAGAACACGAAAATTTCCCTGTATTTTAATTACCTGTTTTATACTCGAGGTACAATAAAGATTAAGTGAGCCCACTGCTGAAAGGTGGCTCAGTGTTCATTTACAGAGATTATGGTGAATAATTAAAATCTTTTTGGTTGCTCTGCGGATTGGAAGAGGAACCAATGAAAGGATTTATTCAGAGTCAAGCCACATCCATTAATTTTGAATGCGGCCCAAAGCACCTGCACAGAGTGTTGGCATGTTTTATCGAGAGAGCGGCTGTGTTTTCCAAGATCACATGCCCGGGAGGTCCCACTCAATGGTCTTCTCTGCAGAATCTATACGTTGTGTGTCATCACACATAAAGCCCCTTAGCTAAACATAAACTCCTCTAACAAGTAAAAAAACACCTTCAGTATATTCAGGACTGAAACTCCTACGCGAGTATGTGAATTCATGTGTTTCTAGCGACACAAACATGATTTTCACATGTGGCAGCAATTGATAGCGCAAAGTACATGTTGCAGTCTTAGACAACGTTCAGAGGTCCGGAAAATGTAATTTTGTTATTTTATCATTAATGTACTATTATACTTGTAGTTTTGTTAATGTTTTGAACTGTTTTTTATATTTTCTGTTTTCATTTAGTGCTGTCAAAATTAGCGCGTTAATGCAGGCGATTAATTTTTTCAGTTTAACGCGTTAAAATTATTTAACGCCGTTAACACAGGGGTGGAGCCTACGGTTGGCCACCCCACTCATAACTGCTACTTCTGTCTCTTTTTTTTTTACATGAAGTGCATTTATTCAGTCGCAGAACGTATTTATGACCACATCAAACCGGAGACGTTTCAGACGCGCGCTCCACATTACTTCAAGCGCAGAAACTGTACTGTGCTCGCAGTGCGCGATCTTCAATTGCACGCACAAAGGCGCCGGCGCGCGTTGTAGCCTGTATCATTTCATATCAAAGCGTGAAAGAAACTACGTGCATGCAATGTCGTGGTCAGTTAAGGCATGAAGTTATCAAAAAGGCGATTAAAGCTGCCATAAAACATGTGCATTAGGGATGGGCATCTCATGACTCAGGCCGATACGATACGCATCTCGATGCATAGCCAACGATACGATACATTAAAGATACATATGAAGCAGCTACCGATGCGATGCGATCCGATTCACCCCTATTACGTTGCAGTGCGATCCGATTCCGATTCGATTCGATTCAACATAATGCGATTCGATGTAATACGATGCAATGGAGAAAATATGATCACTTTTAATGCCTCGAGGCCTGTTTCATAAAACAAGTTTACCAAATAAGCCAGGCTTATTTCAGTTATCTGACTCATTGTCAAAGGATTTGGTTCCATAAAGCAAACTTAACATACTGTAGATCAACCTCAGTCACTGTGGCAACTTATGCTGGGAAACTAACCTGGTCTAAAGCAGGTTAACTGTCAGGCTAAGCTGAGTTCCTCTAACACTGACCAATAGCAATCCAATGATATTACTACTCTCTCACATACTATTATTTGACTTGTTTTTTACAGTTTCTAGCCATGCAGCCTTTCTCTCTGGTTGTATTACAGCTGTACCTTTTATAGTTTGCAGAACAGATAACAGAACATTAGAACATTGCAATCTAACACACCCGATTCAACTCGTCAGTTCATTAGTAGAGACTTTAAGACTTGAAATGGTCAGAAAAGGTAAAGAGAGTTGAGAGAAAATACGATGTGTGTCAGATCCGAATCACGTTCAGCAGCGGCAGCTCTTAAAGAAATAGCAGCCAAACGAACCTAATAACCAGCTGCTGTGATGTCTGTTCATCAAGAATAAAAGAAAAAAAAGGAAATCAATAACTTTTATAGCTTTAAGGATTTATCTGTATTTAGCTTAGAATTTAGTGTTTGATAGCTTTATTCAATTGCTGTATATTTCTGCTGAAGGGCACAGGTAGCCTAGCTAAATATGACATTTATTATAATGGGTTTATGTGAAGATTGTTTTAAGTTCACTTAAATTAGAAGTTTTTAAAGTCTAATAAATGTTCAAATTGATAGCTCTTAATTATAATTTAATGTTGAATGGTTATAGTCAATGGTTAAATATTAGGGGGACATTTTTTATAGAGAAATCAGTAAAAAAGATGCCATTAAACAAATATTAAAAAATACTGTATTTATGTTGTTTGTACATTAATTTGAAGATTGAATGTGAAATTATTGCAATATAAAAGTTTATTTAAAAACTTTAATGTTAGGTGGGATTAACTGTGATTAATCACGATTAATTTCAGAAAGAATGTGCGATTAATTAGTTATTTTTTTTATTGATTGACAGCACTATTTTCATTTTAAAGTTTTTGTAATTTTGTTGTGAGTTTTTGTCATTTTCATTAGTTTTTTTTATGTCTATAGTTTTAAAATTACATGAAATTAAAGGGTTAGTAGAACTATCCCATTAAATTAAATAGGTTCATATTTTTAATCAGTTTTTCTTTTCATATTTGTTCTTTTCATTTTTCTTTTCATTTCAGTTTTGTAGTTTTATTGTGCATTTGTTATTTTTAGTGTATATATGAGCAATAGCACAATTAACAGCTGAGCCCAAGCCTCTGTTACTAATTCGAAAACGTCACTTTAGAACTAGTAATGAGGGAACGGTGAGTTGCTTCATTAAAAGCTTATTGTATTACTGTATTAAAAGCAGTGTATTATGTGGAGTAAAGTATTATGAAAGTATTAATGTTTTGTAATTTCATTTTTAGTAGTTTATTGTGCATTTGTCATTTTATTTGTCATTTCATATATATATATATATATATATAATTCAATTCTATATTACAATATATAATATTATGTCAAAAATCCTTTAAAAATGTAATTGATAAAATTGATAAAAGTCATACAGGTTTGGAATGACATGAGGGTGAGAAATTTGACATAAAAGTTAACTATTCCTAACTATTCCTATAACTTTCTAATGAAATATTCATACTAAGTAACATTTACATATAAATTCTTGCCTTATTTTAAACAAACACATTGACATCACTGTCATCTCATAAACAGGTAGATGGTTGTAATATTTTTAACTGAGGTCAGAAGGTGGTTTTCCTTGAGTGTTGAGTTCCTTGAGTTCTTAACGACTTGTTTAGGTGAAGGTGTTCCTCTGGGAACTGTCCCTGGAGGCATGTGTGTTTTTGTCTTGGCAGGCACTGGTGAGCATGTGAGAAGGGCGCTGTGCTTGGCTCATTTACATTGATGGCAAGACTTCTCCTTTGCTGGCATTTTCAACAGCCATTGATCCACTGCCTGCCTGATTAATCTTCTATAAAAGGATCAGGAGTCAATTAGTGTCTGAATTTCACTTTGAATTCCACGTGTGCATCACCTTTCCCTTGAGGACCCCGACCCGTCTACATGCGTCCTCTGTACCGCACTCCTGAAATATCCATCTCCAGTCAATTGACATGTTTCCCCTTCATTCCTCTCAGAGTAAAGAATACATCTGCATACCAAAGACAAAGGATGTACCTGCAGGAAAGAGACGCGTGTTTTAGCTACCTAGAGACTGAATCAGGTTTCACTAGGATTCATTAGCTTTCTGTTTTTAAGTAGAAGCGAGCAGAGGGTTGACATAAGATATGACAAGATAGTGCTGTGCTTGCCTGTCTGGTAATGGTCATAGGTCTAGCTTTGTGTTCCAAAACCTAGGGAGCTGCTTACCTAGAGAGTATTTTAAGGCATTATAATGTAGCAATCCCAGAATGCCTTTTGTCAAGCACAGAGAAATGTGAAGTAGAAGTATATTTGTATTTCATTCAAAATTGTAAGTTAACTTAAAAATTATAGATGGATGGTGCGTAAAATTCTGGCCAATACAGATAAGTTGATTTTTTTTTCATGTTATGACTAATAACTAATAAATAGCTGATTTTAAAATCTATACTGTTTTGTCGAAATAGATTAAAAGTAAAACACTAAAAGCTAAAATCAGTAAGTACTACAAGTGAATTTAGAAATTACAACATTATAATACTGTTTGAAAATGCATATTTTACAATTTGCTAAAGATTACTTTTTTTTTTAGTATAATTAAATTAATGTTTTGTAAAGGTTCATTTTATGTGTGTTAGACGATGGCGAATCTAAGTGTAATCTAAAGGTAAAAATAAAAAAATCTATATATATTAATAAAAGAAATCTATATAAAATCGTAAAAAAATCTAATATCCGCCATATGATAATAGCTATATCATGCATCTCTCATTGAAGCAGTTTAGTCCGAAGGATGAGGGTTATCCCTGCTGATAGATGTTGTAACTTTACCATTCTGAGGGCAAAATTATTCAGGGAAGGCTACAGTTTGCGTTAAAGCGGTGTCTTTAATAATCATACATGTTCCTGTTGTAGGCGTTTTATATCACCTCTGCATGAATATAATATTGATAACAGTGTGTTTAAATGTACGACAATGACATTTTTTACTTTTTTTCAGGTGATTCAACGCAGAGAAGATGGCTCTGTTAACTTTTTCCGTGACTGGGAAGCTTATCGTGAAGGATTTGGCAAGATAACAGGAGAGCATTGGCTTGGTAAGCCTTCCGTGTCACTATCTGTAATGCAGTCTGTCTAGAAAAAGCTTTAGTAATATTAATGCCACTAAGAGATGTATAGAACATTTCCAAACAGTTGTAACAGTTGTAACACCAAACAGAGGTGTTACAAATGTTTAAAACAATGTTTAGTTGCATGCAGCTGTAATATTCATCTCTGCATATTAAACAATTTATATCATATATAGTGTAAGTACTATATATTATGTGATAATCACTATACAAATAGATAGTTTGGTTCATAATATTTTATCAAACACTTTCCATTGAAGGAGCAAAACTAACCAGAATAGCTGATCATGTTGTGTCTGAAATGTAAGTAACTTTATATAACTTCTTGTTTATAGAACTGTTGTATAAAAGTGCACCCACAACCGTGAATCACAGTTTCACACTTTTTGGTTTTGAATGGCAGTAATGTCTTTAAAAGCAAGCTGAGGAGTTATTCTGCTTCTGTCGTGACACACACACACACAAACACGCTCATCATGTTTGTCACTCTTTTATATATGACTGTTTTTCCGACAACTGTAAGGAACACGGGCGAGTTCAGTTATTGCCATGGTGAGCTGACAGCACGGACAAAATGCCAAGCTGTGTGTCCAAAGCCGAGCGTAGCAGATGGCTATGGGTGGACAGGGAGCAGAGCTTTATAAAGAGACTGAATATAGCGAGGAAACTCATCATAGCGTCCACTGATCAAGCATTGGATATTTTTTGCTTCTATCCAATACTGGAATTAAAGATTAGTGCTTGTTGATTCAGCTCACTGTTTTTTAAGGCAGTAGTTTATTAAAATTTAAAGTGCTGTCATTATTTACTCAACCTTATTTTATTCCAAACCTGTATTCTGCTGTTTTTTTCCAAGACGAATAAAATAAAATAAAATTAAATTAAATTAAATTAAATTAAATTAAATTAAACAAAATTAAACAAAAATAAAATAAAATATTAGATTAAATATAAATTAAACTAAACTAAACTAAACTAAAATAAAGGCAATTTCAGAATGCATTGTGACGGTCAGAGAAATGTGAAGTATAAATATATTTGTATTTCATTCAAAATTGAAAGGTAACTTTTTAAAAATGTTGGCCAATACAGATAAGCTAATTGGATAATACATTTTTTTGTTATGACGGATAACTTACAAATAGCTGATATTAAAATTATATTATATGCTATATGCTATTCTATAAAATAAAATAAAATTGGTCTAAAATCTATTAAATAAAATAAAAAATAAAGGAAATCCCAGAATGAATTGTGACAAGCTCAGGGAAATGTAAAGTATGAATATATGTGTATTTCATTTCAAAACTGAAAGGTATTTTATTCAAATAAAAATAAAATAAAATAAACTAAAATAAAAAAGTCAAAACACCATATAAGTAGTCCATGTCTTCTGTTTGGAGTTAGGTCTGTTTCTCACACAAAGCTATGATATGGCTTCAAACCTGGAATAGTCGTATACTCTACTTTTAAGATACTTGACAAACCAGGTTGCTAGTATGAACTGTCATTGTATGGGAAAAAAGCTTAAAGATTCTCAAAAAATATTCGAGAATCCGTTTGAAACGATGTGAGGCGATTAAATGATTTTATGGATGACCTATTCTTTTAAACCTGATAGATGGAATAAGGAAAACTGTGGTTTGTTTGTGTATTTTCCGTGACAGCCGGTTGCTCTCCAATATGTTGGACGTGGAGAAGATAAATTGCATTTTCGTTTATTTACTGCAAGGTTGCTCCTCTTTCAAGGTAAAAAGATGGAAATATTTTCTGCGAAGGCGATGCTTATGGGCTGCGTCTTGTTTCTTTTTTCGCCTTTGCCTGATAAACATTTTCGGTCTAGACTTGTAGAGTTGTTGTCTGTAATGTGCGCTCAGGGTCCTGTGTCTCAATCAGCTGTGATGAACTAAGACAGGCCCGTCACGGAGTGTCATCTTGGAGAGATTGACGGCTTCACAGCGAGTGCAGGACAGCACTGGCTAGCAGCGTCTCTCACGCCCGCTGTGGCTGAGAATGACTTTTCCCATGGCCTGCTCCTTTTTCTTCACAGTGAGTAAGACCAGCCTAGAGCAATTCCACAGGCTGTTCAACACAGGATATTGCTTGTGCCGCTGGTGGTCAGGGGTTCGGGTCCCTGTGGGCAAGCCCAGGATGGAACAGTCCTCCCTGGAGTGACGAGGTTCAGGGCCCTGCCTCATGGTGAAGATGTGCATCGGTGCCAATGAGTTGAGCTGCTCCAGCCCACGCTCTTAATCAATAAGAGACATGAGGGAGCTGGAGACAATTAACCTCCAGGGCTGGCGAAATGAGTTCCAGAAAACATTAACAACACAGACTCATCAGGAATGAGGTGACAGGGAAACCGGGGAGGGCAGAGGACCTGTAGCAAGAGACAATCTAGCCTCTCACCTCCAACAAATAGGATACGGAGCACAGTTCACAATAGCTCTGTTGCAGAACTTGCTCGGGCGCCATTCTGAATTGAATTGGGAATGCCTGATCAATTCCAGTTCAATTGCTGGATTTAAACTGATTCTGAACAAACAGGATGCAGAATTGCTGTATTTGAATGTAAGAAATTAGAATTAAAGTGCATTGGAACTCATTTTAAGTAGAAAAGTTAAACCTTTGAATGTTGGTTTAACAAAGCCTTGGCTGAAAGTTTTGAAAAAAGTAAATCAAAAAGGGTCACACTTTATTTTAAGGACCAATTCTCACTATTAACTTACTATTAACTATGACTTTTGCCTCATTAAACTCCTAATTTGCTGCTTATTAATAGTTAGGGTTAAGGGATCTAAAATGTGGTCATGCAGAATAAGGCATTAATATGTGATTTATGAATACCAATAAATAGCCAGTATGCTTGAATAGAGTGCTGCAGTGATGACGTATTTTTGTAGTCCAACCCAGAAGTTTGCATCACCTTGGTTCCCTCCACAAAAACCCAATAGGATTTTTCCATTGGCTTTTGGATTATTGCAAAAAAATAGCTCTGTGGCCAACAAACATTTATAATTCCTACACATTTTTTTCATCATGATAATCTTTACAAATGAACACAACTTTTAGGAATTTTAAGGCCTCAATCGGCAGAAGTAGGCTATAACAAACTACACCACGGTTGCATGACTTTGACGCCGCCATCACCAAACAACGACTCTTTCAGTCTTTATTTAAATGTTTGAGGTTGAAAAGTTTGCAAGACCACAATTATAAACCCAGTGAGGCTGTGAAAGCAGACTAGTGAGTAGTTATGTTTACTTGATAGCCATTATGACATTCAATGTCCCTGACAGCCTCTGTAGTCCATTTAGCCACTTGTAAATACCTTTAAAAAAAAAAAGAAGAAAAATAAAAATCATGAATGGGGTATTACTGATTTATTTTATATTGTGGAATTAAGTCTGAAAATATCTTGAGCTTGTGTTAACCACAGACCTTTTTTAAGGCATTTAACCGGAAAAAAAAGCTCATTTCCATGGTTTGGCCTATGAAAATATGTCATCCATGTAGTACTCTATTAAACTTCATTACATTCCTCTTCCTGTCATGCCAGTTCAACTTCCTGTGGGACGTGACCAATCTAATTGAAATTCAGACTCTTAAACTTGTAATCATAAACTGAATTCATTAGAGATTTACATTGCTAAGTGATCAGTGTGATGCTCGAATAAGCATAAAAATACAAAAATTGAATTAAGTAATTAAATTTTTAATTAAAAAACTTAACTGAACTTTTTTGCTGATACTTTTCAATACTGAGTAAAATATAATTATATTTATCAATAATTCTTTTGGTTTCTCAGTGAAACTTATGAGCTACTTTTGTCGTGCATGCAAGCGAGGATCGTTTTAGTACTGCATTACCAATTAGCATGAAATGCTTATGCATAAATGTAAGTCGAATATTAAGGGAGAGATATGAATATTAATGCACACGAGTGTATTTTTGTGTCATCAAAGGATAGGTTTGAATTATCATTCCATAATTTCCTTTTGTAGTTTATTAGCATATCCATTCATGATCAACCTCCCAGAGCACTATAAATAAGTCTTTTATCAGTCATTTTCACATAATTCTGTTGAATTGCTTATAATAAGTCATTCCCATTCCCTGAATATTTACAGATGAGTGTCGATACAAGACTCAAGTGCTCATCAAAAGCTCACACACTTACACTTGCGAGGAACTCCCATGAACTGCTATTGTTCTTAATAATTATAATGATTACATCCTAACCATAGGGAAGAGTGAGAAGTGTTGTAACCCGGGGTGAGTTGTAACACCATCTATTTAATTAATAAAATAAGCTAGGGAGGGGGGATCATACGTAACCACCACCCAACTGAGGTGATAGTAGAAGTGATAGAAGTCTCTGTGCAAGTATTTACAGGATGTTAAGGTAAAGTGTACCCTAGTGAAATATAAATATACTAAAATGTATTTGAAATACATTTATTCCATGCTAAGTATAAATACATTTAAACATTTATGTACTTAATAAAAATACCCTGCAATTGTACTTTTAGTATACTAAACTGGTGTACTTAAAGTCTGCTAAATTGAAACAACTAATTTTGTTTTGTTAAAGTAGTGCTGAAGTCCAACTAAAGATATACTGAAGTATATTTGATTGTGCTAAAGTGGAACTATTGCAAATATGCTTCAGGTACACTTTAAATATCTTGCATTTAAAGACTGATATTATTCAAAGATCATGCAATCCTCATCAATAGTGACATTTTAGGCTTAATATTAATATTGATCTGCACTGTGCACAAGTAGTACTCCAAATAAAGTTAATTATCATTTTTATAACAGTAAGTCTGTAAATATGTTAATAGATTTGAACTATACTTAGTAGTATAACTGACTGTATCAAGCTTTATATCTGGGAAATGCCAGATCAGCTAATCAACTATTTCCATTGTACTTCTACTGAACCCATCAAGATTCAACAAAA